GCACCGTCGGGGTGCGGGCCGGGCGGGGCAGGTGGATCGTGGACCTGACCATCTGTCCCATCTCGGGGGTCCCATGACACATCCCTGGTACCCACGTGCGGGGGGACCTCTGCCAGCGCTAGAGGCCAAAAGCAAACAAATAGGGTGATAGGGTAGGGGGGAGGTCTATTCTCCAGGGGTATCACGGAGAGCCTCGCCGACGAAGCGACGTTTGAGCCGGCCACGCGGGGAGGGACAGGAAGGGCAACCCAGATAAGGCCCAACAGCGAGGGCCCTGGGACAAAAAAAAAAGCTTGCTGAGAAGGGGGAGGGAGAGCGCTGGGGCTGGAGCCTAGAAAGTAAGGATGGAGGACGCTGAGGGAGCGGGACCGGGTCGGGGAAGGCCTGGCATCTTCTCCTTTGCCACCCAGGCCAGAAGGGCGGTGACTTGTGTGCAGTCTGCCTCCTCCAGGAAGCCCTCGGAGCTCCTCCACTGCTCTGCCAGCTTCGCCTTCCTTGGGTCCGGCTCTGACGCACGTCCCTGGGGAACTGGCGCCACCAACCCCAGACCGGGAGCCTCTCGGCCAGGAGTTTAATGAGAGAGGGACACAGAGGTGTACACAGGGCAGGGGAGAGGGTTGACGAAATTGATAATTCTCATCTTGCGTTAAGTGTTGGGGAGGGGAAGAGAAAAAATTCTATCGTGGGAAAAAGGGGCAAACAGGGACACTGCTGGCTTCCATAACTGCCACACCCCAGGGTGACGGATTGTAGCCCCACGAGCCGAATCTCGGAGTAGGAGGCTCGCCCAGCTTCCGCTCCATCAGGTACGCGAGTGGGGACACCCCTCTAAAGCCGGGTGCTCTGCAAAGATGACCCCTCTCGCCGGCTCGCTGGGCGCAGGTGCCTGCGGAGGCCGCAGCCCCGCTCCGCCCCCGCAGACGGGGCGACAGCTTCGCAGGGTCGCCGGGTCAGAGGGCGCCGCAAGTTCCGGCCGGGGACAAGGGGACCCAGGGGGGCCTGGCGCGCCCCTTCCCGGGGCCGGCCGGCGCGCTTTCATCTCCGCTGCCCCGGCCGGCCCCCACGTGGCTTAATCAGGCGCGGCTGTGCCTGGCGGACCCCGAACATCTGGATCCCGGCACGGCCCCTCCCCCGCCCCGCCCCGCCCCTCCCAGACTAGGCCGCGGAGACCCCGCGGCTAGGGCCTCCCGCCCGCGGTTTGCGCTGGTTTCGGGGAAACCCGCGTGTAAACCACCCGCGCCTTGGGAGCAGCCCTGTGTGTTATAACCAGTGTGTCTTCCATATCACAGGTGGGAATCGCAGGCTCCCAGACCCCTCTGCAGAGCCAGGATTCAAGCCCACACGTGTCAACTCTAGGGCCCCACGCTATTAACCCATCGCAATTACTGTCCTTCATTCATTCTGAACTAAACATTGCTTGCAACAACTATTTTCTTGCAGCCGCCCTAGAAGATAGGTACTGGTAGCGTTGCCCTATTTACAGATGACGAAACTGAGGCTCAGAAAGAATCGGCCCAGGTGACAGGCAAGAGAAGCCAATAGATCCCTGCCAAGGTGGGAGGGGGGCTTTTTGGGCATGAGAGGCGTCGCTTAAAGCGCAACAGGAAGGAAGAACACTCCGCGGCCAGAAGGGGAAACTGAGGCTGTGCCGTTGACCCAGGTCGCCCGAGAAAAGAAGGGAAAGAGTTTGATTGCGGCCCACCCACCCCCCTTTCCGCTCCACGAGGCCGCTGGGGAGGTGGGGAGAGCGGAAGGAGGACTTGACCCCGGCCCCCCAGGTGAGCCTCCGCGCCCCTCCTGCCATTCCCGAGGGAGCCGGTCCAGGTGAGGGGCGGGCGGGCCGGCGGGCGGCCGGGGTCGGGTTTCAGGAAATCCGCCGACATTCCTTCGGGGCTTAAGAGGAAAAGTTGACTCGGCGCCGCCCCTCGCCCCCCCTCCCCTTCCTACCCCCCGGGGCGGCCCAGCCGGGGGCGGCGGGAGGGGGGCGCTCAGGCCGGCCTGGGCGTGAATCAGCGGCTGGCCTGGGTCCGGGAAGCAGCCGGGGAGGTCAGGGCGGACGGCGGACAAGCGCCCTTTGTCCCTTGCCACCCTCACCACGACCCTGTTGACCCCCACCCCCAAGCCGGGTTCAGGCTGGGGAGAAGGCAAGGCACCATGGCGCCAGCCTCTTGCTGACAGTTGAGGGGGGGAGCGTGCAGCTCCCCCTCCCCCAGCCCCCCGCAGCTGGCGCCTCCTGGGACACAGACTTCCGAGGTTCTTCAGGGTGCAGAGGGGCAGGAAACCCAGGCCTCTAGAACCCAGCTCTGCACTCCCCAGGCCCCACTTCCAGTGCCTGAATTCCACAGCACCCTAAACTTGGAACCAAGGCATCCCTACTCCCCAGGCTCAGCCTCCAGGGTGGGAATCACAAAGCCTAAGGCACATAAGGACACCACCTTCCTGTGCACACAGGTCCTGAAGCAGGTCTAGACTCTCACCAGCCCTTGATTCCTTGGAAACACAGGTCAGCTAATCCCATACTGGGGGCCCTGAGCACAGGGCTCTCAGAATGGGAGATGTGGCTCTCTACCCTCTGTCCCACTCACTCTAGGTCCCCAGCGGACCCTAAAGGTGTATTACCCCCATCCTCTCCCTGGTGCCCCTTCGGTGCCCTGGAATCATCCAGGGAGCTGGGGCTGGAGGGAGGAGGGGCACCCTCTCAACCTAATCCTGACATCTTACCCACAGATGACCTTTGGGTGGAGAGTGCAGGACTAAGGAGGAGCCCTTCCCTCAGCCCATGGGGGACCCTCCCTCTGTCTGCTTCTCAGTACATTCCCAGCCACCTTCAAGGAGTTGGGTCAATATTTGCTAGAAGTTCTGCCAATGCTGCTTTCCCTTTCTGTGCAGAGGTGGTGGGACTGGGGAAGAAGGGGTTAAGCTGCTGGGCGGCACGAAGGGCAGGGAAGGGTGCCCCCTAGGTTGAATCCCTTTCCCTAAAGTCAAAGGTATGGGGGAAAGGTCACCCAGAGGGCAGAGGTCATGCTCTAGGATGGGGCTGAGCAGGATCTGGAAATGGTCCATACTCTTCTTTGGGGTGAGGACCAGAGAGGGATGTCTACAGGTTTGGGTCACACAGCAAGTCAGGGACCATAAGCCAGGCTGGGCCCCCAGGCAGCATGATTCGCTGGGACCGAGTTTTCTTACCACTTGGAGGGGCTGAGAATTCTCCTCCATCCTTTCATTTTGCAAATATTTATCATGCTCTTCTTCAGCCCTCACTGGGCCCAGCATGGGGTTCTAAGGGCACTCAGGATACTCAATCTAAAGAAAATAAGTCTCAAGAGAAATAAGTTGTTGGAAGAGCTATGCTACAAAGACACTAAGACAAGGTGAAGGGGATGGAGAAACCGGGGAAGGGTGGGGGGTCCTCTCTGAGTAGGTGCCACTGGACCTGTGACCTGATGGAACAGAAAGTGCTAACTGAGGAAGATTTGAGGAGAGCATCCCAGCAGAGGGAACAGCCAATGTGCAAAGGCCCTTCAATATTAAGAAGCCCGGCATGTCTGGGGAGACGGGGCTGCAGTGGCTGGAGAGAAGGGGGAAGAGGAGAGAGGAGGAGAGGAGGGGAGAGAATGGGGAGAGGGTGGCAGAGCAGAGATCTGCTTTGCCTCTTTTAAAAGCTCCCTTTGCCTGCTGTGCAGATAAAGGCAGGAGGGTTATCAGGGAAGCCCCAGAAGAGGCAGAGTGGCATCCCAGAGAAAGGCAGTGGGGCCTGGACCCGGATGGGGTGGGGAGAAGGGGTCAGAGTCTCAGAATGGGGATGTGTTTTGGAATCAGAGCCAACAGGATCTGCTGATGGATTGGACGTGTGGGATGAGCAAAGGAGAGAGTTGTCACGTGCGCTTCTAGGTCTCTGGCCTGAGCACCTGGGTGGATGGGGGAGCCCTTTCCCCAGGCCGAATGCTTGGGGGAGGAGCAGAGAGGGATGGATTCAAGATTTTGCTACACAAGACTGAAGTTCTCCCAGGAGGGGGTCCGACGTCTCTCTCCCTACAGGGAGCATCTGCAGGATAGGGGCTGGGGAGGGGGTGGCGAGTATCCTGGAAACACAATTCCAACCAAGAATTGTCACCTCTGCTTAACCCTCTGGGCCACCTGCAGGTGAGACTATGGCCCCATTTTTCAGAGGAAAAAATAGGCCTGGAGGCCACCTCTGCTCCAGGAGATCATGCAGCGCTCTGCTAAGCCCTTAGATTGTGGAGAACTCTGAAGCTTTGCATCTACCCACGAAAACCCCTTGACTAAGCAAAGGAACAAACTGAGGCACAAGCGGCCTGGTGGGCCCCAGTAAATGACAGTACCTTCCTTAGCTTTACCTCCGTCCTCCTCCCTCCATCTAGAGTCCAGATGGGTGCCCTGAGCCCCCAGGACTCCATTCCCCAATCTTCTTTTTTCAAACTGAGGCACAAGCGGCCTGGTGGGCCCCAGTAAATGACAGTACCTTCCTTAGCTTTACCTCCGTCCTCCTCCCCCCATCTAGAGTCCAGATGGGTGCCCTGAGCCCCCAGGACTCCATTCCCCAATCTTCTTTTTTACAGTCTGGAGTCTGAGCTGGCGATCCAAGTAGGAGAGCGTGACGAGGTGAGGACCCTTCATTCCCCGTCAGACGCTTTTACCCCTTAGGCTGGTTGGGGACATGGTGGGCCTTCACCCCCCCCCTCAGAAACTCTTACCCCCTAGGCTGGTTGGGGACATGGAGGGGACGGTCCAGACCTCTAAGGCAAGTTCTCTTCCCAGGGCACTGAGGCTGGGGGCGGGGCTGCGACCCAAACCGCGGGGCTGGGTTCTCTTTTCAGGCACCCCCCCGCAGGTCCTTGGAGGCAAGGAACCCTTTTTTTTATTTCGTGGGCGCC